GAAGCTGAGCAAGAACTCATATGTCAAGAAAATCATTCTGCGAGCTTCAATCGAATACGCAGTCTCATACATAATCCCAAGATCAGACTCGGGGATGCCATGAGGCTATTGATGCTTTATGCTTTACGGTACGAAAGTAACAAGCGAGAGCTAGACATCTTAAATAAGCTTGCTGCTAGCAAGGGCGCAAGCGCCGAAACTTTGCAAGTTGTTCAAAATCTGCTTAATTATGCTGGCCCGAGACGAAGGACGGATGGCTTCGATCTGTTTTCCTCTGGACGACAAGGCCTATCTGGAGACAAGGATGCTTCACTTATTGCAACCAGTGCAATGGCTTCCTTGACAAAACGGCTTGTAAAGGGTTTAAAAGGAGTTGAGAATGTTTATGCTCAGCACGAGCCCTTGCTAACAGAAATTATAAACGAACTAATCAAGGGTCGCTTACGCGAATCAAGTTATCCATCGATTGCTTCCTGCAATCTAACCAGTTCTCAGCATTCATCAGTACTTCAACGCCCACCTCGTGAGATCATAGTATTTATAATTGGAGGTGCTACCTATGAAGAAGTATTAGCAGTTCACAGACTTAATTCATTAACACCCGGAGTAAGCATACTTCTTGGCTCGACTACTATGCTCAACTCGAGATCTTTCATTGATGAATTTCGTTGCCAATCCCCTGAAGATACTTCTTCACCATCATCTGATCTGTCCCAACAAATGAAAAGCTTGCCGATTTCAGATATGCCGAAGCAGTCTGCTATTTCAGGCCGTTTCGGTGGCGCTGTTAAGTATCATTTACTTCGCTAAGACGGTTGAATGGTTGCTCTATTCTTTACTTAAAGTCCTTTTTTCTGTTCTTTAACTTCCTGTTATTTTGTATAGAAATAAATGAGCAATGCGTCGAGCTTCTTTTATTTTATTTAATGGCATATTCAAATTTCAGAAATACTGCATTTTTTAGAAAGATTTTCTTTCCTCTACACTTAAGGTATCTCATAAGCTAGCATCTTGGTGTTTGTCGAGGCATTTTTTTTTGCGAATTGGTCAGTATCTTGCTCAACCATGTCGATGGCGCTATGTCCGCGACCCAGGTACTCTGGATAAGCGTCTTCTAAGAGCTGT